GATCCCAGGACCCCGGGATCATGACCTGAGCCGAAGGCAGTCGCTTAACCAACTGAGCCACCCAGGCGCCCAAGGGTTTTTTTTTTTAAGGGGCTTCTTGTAATGGAGATACGCTTGCTCTGGAGTTCTGGACTGGAATCCTATGCCACATGTCCCTATTTGCCCAGAAAATTTCCATTTGCTGTCTCCCCCCCCATTTTGTTTAAATACTAAGTATTGTATTTAATATTTCCGTTCAAATACACTGGGATAAATTGCTTAGGCTTGTCGTTTGTGCATTCTGCTTCTGCTGTGGTTTTTCCTAGTAGCCCTGGGGTTGCATGTGCAGTGACCAGAGATCTCACACACACCCGGTTAAATCCAACCAGGGATAACAAGCAGGGATAACCCACCTATTTTCCTGACCCTTTTCAGGGGCTAAGCCACTAAAACCTAGCTTTAAAGGAAAGCTTTTGGATGGTCACTGATAAAACAAAGTGCTTTCAGATGAGTTCACCCCTTCTTGTCTCAAGTGGTGGTGGAGAAGCCTCTGATGCTCCCCAGTCCCCCCAGTCAGTCACGTGGCATACCAGCCTGTTGGGGCATGGCTATTGCCAAATTTATACGATGAATAAAGCCTCCAAACTGCCAATTCTAGTGGGGTTAGTGGGAAAGATGAAAAATGATAGGGTGAGTGTATGTTAAGTATATGCAGAATTTAAACAGTCCTGTGGATAAAAGAATAAAAAGTAGTCTCAACACTTTATGTTTTGTTTCACTCATTCCAATGAGTAGATCTGCACTTTTTTTTTACTGTTTGATAAAGCTTTTTCAGTGAGTAAATAGTAAAGTCAGACTTCATGTTTAAGAAATAATCAAGTAATGATATTCTGTTTGTCAAGATAATTACTGAAGAGCTAACTGATAGATGTGTGTTTACATTTCTTGTCTGTCCCCTGGGGCCATGGTCATATCATCTGTACATGTAAACTTAAGTTACAAATCTGCTAAAGAGCCTTCAACAGCTAGTAGTTACGTTAAGTTACGTTTCCATTTCTGGAAACATGCTTTTATTTATGAAGCCAAAAAGTTGTGTTTACATATCTCTCTGTGGAGTATGACTTTTCTTTTAGATCAAATGACTATTCTACATTTATCTGATTTTTCCGTTCCAAGGTTTCATTGTACATGTATGAAAAATGGCAAGGTAGCTGTTAATGTGTTGACTCCAATAGAACTAACGTCTGAAAAATCTTGGGCAGAGTCAAACCGATTGAAACAGAGTATCAAATAAGTTAATTCTAAAATTATTTTGATTTTTTTCAACCAATATATGGAACCAAAATAAAGCTTTTGCTAGTTTTACAAATGATAAAATCTCTGACATCAGGAATGCCAACATAAATTTAGCTGAAACATTTAGCATTGGGGATTATTTAATTTTGTAGGGATAGTATGAATGCAAATTTTGATGGAGGACAGCATCATGGCTACTAAGATATTCTTACAAAATGAAGGCATTTATGAGGCAGAAATGTACTTGGGATTGGCCACAGTGCCCTGATTATCCATGATTGTGTACAGACAAATGATAACGCTCCATTGATGGAATTAGAAGCTGTCGTGTCCACACATAATTATAAATATTTTATATATACAGTGTTGGGTAGAAACAACAAAGTTTTTTGTGACAAAGGTATTTCAAATATAAAAGTACACTTCAGTGTGGCAGTGTGTACTCTGTTTTTTTGCTGCTGGTCATCAATTTGATTTTAGGAATGTTTGAACCTTTGAAGAGCTCTTAGTCAACTTAAACATTTTACAGAGCTATTGAACTCTTGTGAAAAAAGAAATCTCTTTTTGTTGCATTTGGGTCATAATCAGTTGGAAATTTTTATTCAAAATCTTCGATGACTGAAATGCTAAGTAACTTCATCTTTGAAAGCTTTTAAAAGGTGAGTGCAAGTGAATTTTAAAAGAACTGGAAAAAGACACTGATTTTTTTTTTTTTTTTACAAAAACAAGGAATATTCAGCACAAAGTAAACTATGAGATCAAATGTTGTGCATGGTTCAATATTTAATTCTGAAGTTACCCTTTGGGATACCTCAATTTGTGGAAAAAATCTTTTGATTTTTAATAGAGTAAATATCTATTTGACCCAAGAATGGAAGGAAATTGAGAAGCCATTTATTTGGCAGCATAGATTTTGTGAAACATTCAAAGGAATTACGGATACAATTTACTTGAAGTTTTGTCTTGAAAAAATGTTCGACAGAGAAAATTCACATGCAGATACAAAAAGGCAGTGCCTTTGAAAATATTTCGGTTAAAATATATATGGATCTCAACATTTAAAAATTAAAATTGATAATGATTTTCTCCATGTAACACATTTTTTGGTGTGAGATTTCAAGGTACCTCAGTGCCTGTAGAGAGAGTATTTTCATAATTAAAATTATGATCCACAGAGTCAGTTAAAGGTGTCAATTTAATGACTATTAAGTGCAGCTCTGAAGATGATTGAGGACAATTTTCTGAAATATATAAAAAGATGGTATTAAAAAGTACATTCTTTTGAAAAATACCCTGACCTCGGATTATAAACATCTATAACTAGGAAACCAGTTAAATATGTGAATCTGTAGCACAAACAATCATTCTTTATGTATCATTTAAAAATGTCCAGATAACATAAATAAGTTTCATTTTAATATACGTAAAATGTTTTTAAAAATTTTTTTTAAGTAATGTATTTATAAAAATAAAATGAAATAATCATGTGGATTCACCGATATGATAAAAGCAAGTTGATAGTGGATAAATATTTCAAAAATTATGGAGTTCTGATTACTTTTACTCTTCAAAATGTAAAGATTTGGTTGATAAATTACTATCCTGCTAGCTTAGATATGGTGGGACTCTTAGCCTTGTCTTTGAATATTAAATACGCAAACTAAAACATCAAATTCACTAAAAAGGAAAAGGACATCGAGACAATCATTTATTATTTTGGTATACTAACTTATACTTCCTTCACAACCAGAACCTTGGCATTTGGGTGTTTCATTGGGGTGGGGGGGGGGAACACACACACAGACACACACACACAGAGTCAGTGGAACTAGGACTTTTTATGAATTTGAGCCACATGGAAATTTGAGTCATTTTCCAAGAAATTGTTTTGACCTAAAGTCTATGCTGCTGAAAAGAGGAAGCTACTTTTGCCCTTTGGGTCAAATTCCCTGGTGCTTTCAAATCCTCCTTTATAAACGTGAATACTTATGTAGCAGACAGAGATGGGTTTTCACCATTGTGCCCATTAATAGATGTTGCTGAGCATGAATTAGGTTACTCTGGCAGCATATCTAATTTTTAATGCAAGCTGCTTAAAGAATTAGAGGGTAAGGGAAATAAGGAATTTTAACTTGGAGTGAAAAACTACAAATGTTTTGCTAGTTTGATGTAGCAAGAGAACACAATGAGCCTGCCTTCTCCTTCTATACAGACTGCTTGGATTAAGGAGTTCAACCCAGATGGTAAGAGGTTCTTCAAACCATCCCAGCACCCTTTACTAAAGAGGGGCTGACAGTGGTGCATTCTAACCTCTGCCCTCTCCGTGGTCTGTTTCTGCCAAGTAGCTTCATAATCAAGGACAGGTGGGAGAAGGGACATAATTTGAAGCACATAATTTGTGCTTTTGTGACATTTCTGCCATCCTGGTGCTTTTACCCACAATTGCCGGGTGGTAGATTCCCCTTCCCACCCAACTTGTGTCCAGTTTGATGGAACAGAGAATGCAAGAGGAGAGTGAAATATTTTCTTTTGCTGCACAGAAGGTTATTCTTAAAATGCTCTCATAAATTTAGAAGGTTTTGCTCCATAATTTAGTACAATTCTAACTCAAGTAAAATTCTAGATAAAGAAAAATTTGAGGGTTTTGATTTGGTTTTTGGTTAGATGTAGTGTCTACAATGACCCAGATAGGCAAGAGCTGAGAGGATACTAGCTAAATCCCAGTTCCAGTAGAGTTCCCAGGGAGCTAGATTATGGTATCAGAATATAAGAAATTGTGTAAAAATACCACTCTTTAGGGAATCCTCTTTTTCCAACATTTGAGTGATTTCTAAATTCTTTTTATAAGCATTAGCTGCCTAACATGGTAAAACACACTTGAGATTTTCTATAAGCAAAGTAAGGACAATGTTCTTAGGAGGCTGAATTCTGTTTCACATGAAGAATTGGAGACTGAGGAAGATGAACTTGTATTTGCTTCTACTTCTATGAAGAAAAAGCCAGTCAATCACTGAGCATCCGCCAAGGGAGTAACCTGTGTAGGATGCAATCTCCAGCAGTGACTTTGTAGTCTGCCTCCAGGTGCCTACTCTGTTTCTGAGGTGGTTGCCAAAGGATAACTGAAATGTTTGTCAGACTTGCAGTGGGTTTAAAACATGACTAAAAACGCAGCAGAGTTTGACAAAGAAGCCACAGTACTAGGAAACCTATCATCTGGATTTCACAAACTGGAAACATACCTGAAGGACTGTGAGGGGATAGGGGTAAGGTGAGCTGGCAGATAACCTTGTGAAGCCAAACAGGAAATCAAGGTCAGCCAAATGGAAGGGGCTGCCGAGTTCTCTGTCAGAAGCAGTAGCTTCCACAGAGAAATGAAACTCTTGGTTCTGTGGGGCTTCCACACATCACTTCCTCACACTGAGGTAGTGACTGAGACACAATGTGAATGGTTGCATCTGAATGAGTGGGCAACAGTTCTTTGGAGTCAATAAATACTTTAAGTCGTGAAAAATGTGATGCATCTCTTGAGTCACTCTGTTGATCCTAACCATGTTATTTTAACACGGTAAAGTAATTTCTATAGCGGGACAATAAAAATGAAGTGACTGAGCTAAATCTTGCTTTTATGTTTCCTAGGAATCTGAGAAAAAGGGGTTAATTGAGAGAATCTATATGGTACAGGATATTGTTTCAACTGTTCAAAACATCTTGGAGGAAATAGCTTCTTTTGGAGAAAGAATTAAAAAGTAAGTTTTACATTTGTGTTGTGTTTGAAGTAGAGCTGCCATACATTAGGGCAGTGGGGGTAAGAGGGTGGGGAGGGCAGGGATCAGTAAATGCAAAAACAAAAGAAACAAAAGCTACCGTGTTGGAGCAACCCTATTTATATTGGTTGGTTTGTTCTTTGGGCTTGTCAACTTCACAGTTGGGTAGTGCCTTGGAACCAGGGCGACCATATGGCCAATTCACACCAATTGCCCCAGCATAATTAGTTCACTCTCAAAAGTATCCTCATTTGGGTGATAAATTATAGATTAAAAAAATAGAGTATCCTATTCAGAAATAAAAAGGGAAGCAAATATGCTCTAAAATTGCCTTTTTCAACTGAAACATGGAACACAGTAAATGCTTTTTTTCTCAACTTACCAAAGAGCCGTACATAGATAGTAGCATCATGGATACAAAGATGAGAAGTTAATTCATCACATTCATGGGTACCTTTGACATGGGTCAACAGACTTTCTTTATGAGAGGCAGTGAGTAAATATTTTCATCTTTGTGGACCACAAGTACTCAACTCTGTTAAGTATAAAAGGCATCATTGATACCTAAACGAATGGCTGTGATATGTGTTCTAACAAAACTTTATCCACAAAAACAGGTGGCAGGCTAGAGTTGACTTAAATCCAACCCATAGCTTGCCACTTCCTACCTTAGGTCACAACGAATAAATCAATAATGGAGTCTCAGTTGAGAAAGACTGTTTCTGTGATTCATGTTTGTTTTGTTTCAGACATCATGAACTCTGTTTAACTTGGTCTTCATTTGGTACCAATGAACAGAGCAATTTAAAATTTTTTTTCTTTTAATTTCAAACTTATTTCCTCCTTCAAATCCAGAATTATATCAACTATGTTGTTCTTTCTAAAGATTCATGGATACCTTTTTTCTTATTTTACTGTCCATTATAGTTTTTTAAGTAAAGAAGATAATATTTAGAAATTGCATGGGTAGGGGTGCCTAGGTGGTACAGTTGGTTAAACATCTGACTCTTGGTTTTGGCTCAGGTCATGATCTCAGGGTCATGAGATCTCAGGGTCATGAGTCGGGCTCCACGCTCAGTGCAGAGTCTGCTTGAGATTCTCTCTCCCTCTCTCTCTCCCTCTGCCCCTCCCACTCATGCTCTCTCTCTCTCTCAAATAAATAAATCTTAAAAAAAAAAAAAAAGAAATTGCATGGGCAAAGGAGATTAATATTAGTGCTAAAAGCCAAGGGAAAGTTTTATATATCAAGATGCAGGGGAATCAGTTTATAATGAACATTAAGAAATATAAATAGCTCATATGGGACTTTTTATGGATACTGATCTTTCTCAATTCCTTATCAAATCCAGTTGCTCTTGAGTGGCCATTTATTGTTGGCATGGTAAACGTGTTCTTTTTGTTTATAAAATAAGTTATAAATCATCTTTAAACAAATTTGCTAAGTTTTACTGAACTTACATGTTGCTATTCCCATTATCAATGTCTTAGAAGAAAAATTAAAGAACAGGAGGATTTTTGCTTACATATATTGATGCCTACCTAGATTTCATATAAATTGACAAATGATTTCTGAAGTTACCCTCAAAATTGTTTAACAAAAACATAAGTGACAATAGGAAATAGTCAAGTGATGAGGAGGGCGTTATACTTCTTCCTTCATTCACTCATTAACTCTCAGTTCTGAGTGTTAGGCACTGACCTGGTCTAAGAATGAGAAATATTCCATAAAACCATGATAATAGCAACATCAGCTCATGTCATGTGCCAGACAGACGCTATTGTAAACCCTTCACACATAGTAATTTCTTTAAGAAGTTGCTGACAGGAATCAGATTAAATATTCCAACAAGCCTCTGGATTAAGGATTGTTAGTATACCCATTTTACAGATGAGAAAATGGAATCACAGAGTGATTAACTCTGTAACTGAAGGTCACAGAACTAGTAAGCAAAGAAGCTTAGATTTGAACCTGCCCTCACTACTACACTAGAATGCCATTTTCCTCTAAGGATCTATCTTCCAGTGAGGGAGAACAGTAATAATTAGAATTCAGTTGCATTGATGCGAGGTAGAGGTAAGACAGGGTGGCAGGAGAGGTCTGACCAGCCCAGAAAGGGATGTAGGGGAGAGAAAGACAGGGGGCACTTCTGAAGAAGAGACATCTTATCAGCATGTCATAACAGGAAGAGATAGTTGAGCAAAGAGTTAATGAATGGGGACTTCAGTAGGTGGGAGACTGCAAAGGTTCAAAGCTCAAGACTGTGCTAGATCCAGGGAGATGTTTGGGGTTTAGTATATCTGTGTGACAGCAGATGGTGGTGCTAGTGCTTGAAGGTGAGGCAGATCATACAGAACCCTGAGTGGGTAGAAAAAGTCCATGAGAAAAAACTGGATGAGGGACATTCTGGCAGCAAGAAGGATAAGAGGAGGTGGAGTGGGGGGGGCAAGACTGAGGAAGGAAGGCCGTGGCGTTTGGTAAAACCGTCTCCATGCTTGAAGGTCTCTAATAGACAAATGTGGCTGTTGTGCGATTGATAATGGTCAAAGAAATGTGTCTGATGAGGGAAGAAGGCAGGGTGATTTAAACAGGCCCCCATCTCTGAAGTGCCCAGAACAGCTGTGGTGGCCATGTCTGAGACGTATTTTCAGCCATGAACAGAGTACTGTTCTGCCCAGCTGCCGCACAGGAAGGAAGGCGCATAAGGCTCCACTCCTATTAATTCTTTGGCCATTCATTACCACAGTGACCTTAAAGTTCCTGCTGGGCATTCAAGTGGGATGGCATGTGTAACTCCATTGGAATTCCATTATAATTCAGTGTTGAAGGACCAGGAAAACTTTTACCCAACTTCTGGCAACTAGTAAATAAGTAAGCGTGCATAAAACTCTCAGAGCAAGGCTTTCCAGTTACTGACCCGGAAGACCCCAATCGTATTGCGTTTACACGGAACAAGCTATATTTTCTTTTTCTACTCTTCTCTACTTTCTCTAATTACCTTCTCTAATATTACACAAATTTCAAATGTAGGTCTATAACAGGCTAAAATATTTATTGAACATGGTGCATCTATATTATCTCAGACAGCAGGCTGGATGGGTCAGAAGAGGGCTATATTTTATATGTCTTCTCATTATGGAGTGTTGCCTTCAACAGTTGTATCTTTGAGTGGTTAAGGAGGGAAATCACAGAGGAGATAATGAGAAACCTAGAACAGGGAAGTCATCCCTGCAAATACTCCAGAGTCAGGTTTGGAAGCCACATTCATTGGAAGGAGAGCATCTCTAGATGGGAAGTGATGTTGAGAAATACTAGGCACTAAATATGAGGAAGAAGGTTAAGTGCAGCTTGAATCATGGTGAAGACAAGGGGAGTGATAGACTGATTCACCTTCTGTTCACTCAGAGAGTGGTATGTCAAAAGGAACATAGAATGAAGGCAGAAAGACAAAAGAGAGGGCCAGACACGAGGTCTGAGGATAAGGTTCACAAGCTAGAGTAAAAACCATGCCTTGTGAACGAAAGCATCAGGTGGGGTCCATTACAAAAGAATAATCTGTATAGGATTATATGATCAGTCATTTCTGTTTCCATGGGCAGAAGAGTCAGAAGACCTCATTTGTCCTAGCCTGGGAAGTGAGGAAAATCAAGATTCCATGGGCATAAAGGTCAACTAGTGGAACACCCAGTTGGGGGAGGAAATACAGGATGGAGCTGTTACCCCCTTTACCCCAGATATGGTCACAGTGATTTTTGTTTCGTGCTTTGGAACTTTGAAAATGATATTCTTAGGACATGTTACTAAGCCTGAATGGTTGAATGAAGGAAGGGGATTCATTGAATTTTTTTTCACTAATTGAAAGGTTTGGCTCATTTGTCTCATTACTGTCCCAAGTCAGGGATTCCTTTTTTAGGAATTTAGGGAGCTCTCAAGTTAGGAAAACTAGGAAAGTCTGTGAAAATGTTCAACGAAGTGTTTGATTTTGAGATTGAAAGGGTTTTTTTTAACCTTGGGTGTTCTGTGGAAACCAGCACAAGCTACTCCATGTTAATGGAGAGAAGGTCTAGTAAGTTCTTGAGTGTTAGAGGAATTACAGTGTAATGTCTTTGAACTAAGTCCTCAGTATAAACAGGAGTATCAAATTAAATGAGCAAAATGTACCTTTTTACATTTTCTACAGTGCCTACTGTAGAGGCAGTGAGTGTGGGCTCTTGAGCCGATTTTCTGAATTCAGACCCTAATTCTGTCACTTGTACTGAGAGTAAGTGATTTGGTGCCAGTTATTTAACTTTTATGACTCAGAGTACTCATTTGTAGAATGGGAGTAAAAATTATTCCTACTTCATAACATTTTTGGAAGAATTAAATGAATTAGTGCATATAAAGAGCTCAGACTAGTGGATGGCATGTATTACTTAAGAATATTGACTATTATGAATATTATTTTTGGCAAAATGTCTTGACTTTCTTTCTCTGTGTCTTAAATTAAAAAAAAAAATTAAAAGTGAATGTCTCCCTTTAAAAAAAAAAACAACTTTTAAACACTTTCCACTAAAATTGTGGGTGGCTGAGGGGAAAATGCAAGAGTTAACTGACTTGGCTGTTGGGAGAGCGGATCTGACAGGGTGTCTGTGAGAGTGATACACATCTTCATTAGAAATGAAGCACCCGGGGCGCCTGAGTGGCTCAGTCGTTAAGCGTCTGCCTTCGACTCAGGTCATGATCCCAGGGTCCTGGGATCGAGCCCCGCATGGGGCTCCCTGCTCCGCGGGAAGCCTGCTGCTCCCTCTCCCACTCCCTCTGCTTGTGTTCCCTCTCTCGCTGTGTCTCTCTCTGTCAAATAAATAAATAAAATCTTAAAAAAAAAAAAAAAGAATGAAGCATCCAACACTGATACACATGACATACCGCACACTTGCACACACAAACAACTATTGAGATCTTTATAAGGATTAATTGGAAAATAATTGACATCTTGATAAAA